AATAAATAAGTCAGTTTAGTGCTGTATCACTGGGGCCTATAGGTGACACGGGGTTCCTGAGTCAGAGATAAAATAGCACAAGCATTGTCTTAGCTACTTTTCTCATTGCTGAGACAAAATGCCCACACTCAAAGTAAAGGGGAAAAGGTTTATTTATCTTACAGTTAATAGAGGTTTCAGTCCATAATGGGCTGGCTCCAAGGCAGAGCGGCACATGGCAGAGGGCAGAAGTTCATGCTGGACTGAAGACAGAAAAGCTACAGGGAAATTAGCAGCTTCTTTCTGCCTGTTTTACTCTCATCTAAGTTACCAGGATTAGGGCAGTGCCAAACCAATCAGTAGATTTAGTAACCACACAGTTTAATCTCAGTATCACACACTCTAGATTCAGCCACCTCTGAAAAAGCCCCACTGTGACCACACGAGGCTTTTGGGGGACATCTAAACACAAGCCCTAGCAAGCATCATAGTTATGCCAGTTCCCCTGTCTTCAGTTCTCACGGGGACAACACAGAGGCCTGGATGGACATTACACATGCATTTGTGACCTGGCTGAGAAGCACTGAACACCAGGAGCCCGCCGCAGCTCCTACCACCATTCCTATTGTAAGCAGCCCTGCTCCTCGCAGGAAGACTTTCCCTCATCTGTCCAGGTTGCTGGCTGCAAACACAGCCCTGAGGAATGGTTGAGTAAAGAGCCCCCATGCCCTTGTGTTCTTGGCATACTCCGCAATAGCATTCAGGGATCCCTCTTCCCAACAAGTGCTATCCCACGTCTGCCTGTCCATATTCTACGCATCCTCAAATGACAACTATGTTTGATGATTTCCCCAGTCCTTCCTTCACAGTGCTCTTTCTCCTGCTTTTTTGGTTTCTTTATAACCCTCATCAATGCCTGGTTTTTTTGTTTTTTTTGTTCACAACAGTCCGTCCACTTCGGCAGCATGCAAACACACAGGCTGGACTAGAACCTCTTCATTTGGGTTTGCCACACCCAGTGTTTGCAACTGGCAGGTGCTTAAACCAGATTTGTTGAGTTGGGCAGAATCAAGATCTTTCCGCATGGCTATGCTTTCTCAAAGTCTGCTCCACCGCCCTTTGGAATGCTTCCAGGATTCCAGAGGCTAAAAATATCGCCCCAAAGCCATAGCAGGGATCTTCCTTGTATGGAGGGCCTTGGTTCTTGAGGCTCAAAGTTTATGCCCACCAGGTGGCGCCCCGACCCTCACATAGCCTGACAGCTTTTTTAGACGACGGAAAAGATTCTCTTAGTTTGTTCCCTTAGGTCTCCTGCTCACAGAAATCCCGTCATCACCAGCTGGGTGTGGTGGCTCACATCTGTAGTTCCAGCACTTGGAAAACTGAGACAGATGGATTGCTGTGCGTTCAAGGCCAGCCTGTGCTACATAGTGAGTTCAAGACCAGCCCAAACTACTTAGTGAGAGACCCTGTTGCAAACAGACAAACAAATCTTGTCATCAGTCTAGTACACAGGTGCAGTCTCTGGCTGCCCATCTGACCCTCAGATCTAGGGAAAATCAACAACAAGAGGGGACTGAGAATGTCCCTCCAATCTGTACTAAGGGATGCTGAAGGAAAAGCCCTGAAACCGCACTTAGAGTTAGTGTTTCATCGCTGGAATGATGAAAGGAGGAGAGCTTAAAGGAGGAGAGGTTTACTTGGGCTAACGGTTTCAGAGGTTTCAGCCTGTGGTCAGCTGTAAGGCAGAAACATCATGGTGCCCGAGAGAAGCAGAGAGGAAGGGACAAAGCCAGGTTGGAAGGAGCTAGGGACCAATGGAGTCCCCAGTTCATGTCCCCAAGACCCACCCAGAAGTGTTTCTCAAGCCAATCAAGTTGATAGTCATGATTACCACAAAAGTTGAAGTTCTTTGGGCAAGTGTCTAACCCTTGTGGCTTCCTGTGAGAAAAGAAAATGTGGGAAATATGTAAAAGTACCTAAAATGTGGGTGTGGAATCAGTCCCACTGGGCTCCTGCTTAAAGGGTCCCTACTGGTTCTGTGAACATGGTCAGTTCCTCTAAACCTGTAAGTGCTGCTTTCTCTATCAGTGAATCAGAACTAATAACAAATATTTTAAAGAGCAGTATAAAGATCAAGTAGAACAGTAAACATAGAGTGCTTGTCACAGTGCCTAGTATATAATAGGCATTCAATTACTAGAAATCACATATATCTTTTATACCCCTAGCTTCTAAAATGGTGCCCAGCCCCTAATAAGTGATCGATCTCAATATCTATTTGCTGAATAAAAGAATTTACAGATGAAGAAACTGAGGCACAAAGGGGCTAAGTAGTCCTTCCCTCTAGGTCCTGGAGGAATAGTGAAGCAATGATGTGTAGCTAGACAATCTGACTCCAGACCCTGAACCTCCACGCTGTGCTATTGTACACAAATATGGGGTTAAACATCACCATTTGTTCATTAAAATAGACAATCAGGGCTTTCTCAAGCACCGGTTTGTGGGCTGAGTTGGCAGTGCAGGCATTAGCCCTCCTACAAGAAGTTTTGTGTTTTTGTTTTTCTCCAGAAGGCAAACCAGGCTGCTGGAAGAGAGACCTGCTCAGCTAGGCCAGGAGCTGGTGGATTCATCTTCTGACTGGGAGATGGAAAACTGGATCTCCAGTGTAGGTTCAGCTGGAGACCCCATGCAAGGATGGTCTCCAGTGTAAGTGGGGCCCTCACAGTTCCACTGCTGTTTCTGCAGACATCCACTCCACTTATATTTGCGGGGGAGTCTCCTATGCACCTGGTCCAAGATGGGTTAGACATGTTAACCAACGGTTACCATTGTGGCAGTCTTAGAACTACTGCAGAGGGATGTCCAAATGGGGGCCCAGGCAAGAAAGTAATCAAAAGCTGGAGGTGGGGTGGGGTCTGGACCCAAGCTGGCAGCATTTAACCTGGACACTGAAGAAGTAGGAGTTTTCCAGACAAGTGGGATCTAGGAATGAAGACTATTCTGAGCTTATTTGGGGGAATTTAAGAGGTTTTGTGGGGTTGGCATCTGGGTGCAGGGGGAGAGTGTAAGGGAAAAAAATGGAAGTAAGGAAGGAAATAGAAAATGAGGCAGTTGAAAGTTGACGGGAGCAGATTGTGAAATATGCCACCTAGAAAAGAGAGGACTCTATCTTGTGGTCAGTAAAGAAAGCTGTGTAATGAACAACCTGGTATGTTTCAGAAGGTTGGGAAGCACATAAAGGTTGGATGTGGCCAGACGTGGTGGCATATGCCTACAATCCTAACCCTTGCGAGGCTGAGGCAGAAGGATCACTATGAGTTCAAGAACAACCTGGACTGAATAGCAAAACTGTGTCTCAAAAACAAACAAAGAAACAAACAAAACAACAAAACAAAAGGTTGGATTGGAAGGGGTGAGGAGAGCAGCAATAACCACTAGTTTCAGGAAATTGAACCGAACCCCCCCAAACTTTGTTCTGCTGTTCAAGAGAGAAATAACTTTCTATCTCTTGGGCTGTTCTAAGGCTTGAATGAGAACCACAAGGAGCACTGGCACAGTACTATTAATGCAAAGCACCCCTGAGCTCCTCACAGGCTGGCTGGCCAAATAGTTAAACACGTGGGCTTATTATCTCTTGGACTGGGTTAGTGTCTTGGCCACAACAATTGGCATGTTTTAGGGTAGGCAAGGTGAGAAGATGGCCAGCAGAGAATTGGATAAAAGGGAGAGGTTGCCATGATTTGTGGTCAGTGGAGGGAGGGTAGTGGAACCTCTGGTAAGTCAAGGTCCTTTACTCTGACCCCGGGAACTCTATGGTGAGTCTGGCAGTCTGAGCTCTGTAGGACAGGATGAGCTTGGGCTCTGGCAGTCCAGGAGCAGTACTGCTCTTTTCCGGCCCAAGTAGGACCAGGGGGTCTGGGGATTTAGCTCAGTGGTGCCGCCACCTGCCTCACAAGGAACAAGGACCCCGAGTTCGATCCCCAGTACCAAAAAAAAAAAGGAAAAAAACTTGAGATACATAATTTCTCTCCTTATTTTCCAGGTAGGGAGGCCAAGGGGATCTAGACAGGGGCAATGACAAGAGAAACGGGAAAGAAAGGGGGCTGGCCAGAGGCTGAGAGAACGCTGGAGAAGCCGTCCTCCCCTCGAAGACAGACAGGGCACATAGGCAGGACGCATAGGGGCGACACCAGCCGTGCCAAGCTTGGCCTAGTGGCTTAGGCAGGCCAAGTTAAAGGGCGCGGGGACGCTCCGTCCTACCCCGGTGATGAAGGAATCCGAGCAGAGCTTGGCGCGCTGGAGAAAGGGTGGGGGGGCGCCAGGGTGGAGAGCCAGACGGAAAGAGGGGTGGCAGGAAGCCGGGAGCAGCGATCAGGGGGTGGAGACCTTGGAGGGGAAGGGGAAAGGGTGGGTAGGAGGGGTGGAGTGGAGAGAGGAGAGGAGCTCTAGGAGAGAGGGTGGGGACAAGCTGAGAAGCAGAAGAAAGGACCAGAGGAATCCAGGGCGAAGGCCGCGGCGGGCTCAGCGGGGACCT